CCTTGATAGCTAGTGTTAAGTTTTTTTTTTAATATAGAGAGACAAAATCACCATCACATTGTCCCAATGAACATTGTAGATAAGCATGGAGCTATAATGTTTTTCCAGAGGATTTTAGTTCCTTTCAATAGTATATTATACAAATAAAAAATAGTTATAAAATCGGTTAGCTCAACAAATTAATTCAATGATACATTAATTCTAACACTTTCTTTTGTAGCTTCAATTAACATTTAAGATGTCTCTTTATTTTAAAATAATAAAAATTTAACAAAAATTTATAGAAAAAATAAGAGAAAACTCATAAAACAAAAAAAACATTATTTATATATTATTATTTTGATTTATACCATTTAAAATTTCATATCATGATATTAAATTTAAGAAGAAAGTTATATAAGTAAAAAATCTACCACCAATAGCATTAAAAAGTCAATGGAAAATCACATGCTCTCAAAACGATGACCCAATTAGTTTGAACTAGTTTATACCAAGAATCCAACTAGTGACTTGTTGTCTTTTATGAAGGTGTTTGTTATCAATAAAACACTAATTGCGTGTTTGGTATTATGATGTATGGTGTATTTTAAATAAAAATACATTAAAGTAATTTCTTTTGGTTTTTTTTTAAAAAAATTATATTAGTATATCAAAATAATCCAAAAAACACTTAAAACCTGCATCAATTTAATGTTTTTTAGGTGAAAAACAAATTAAAAAACAAAAACAAATGCCAGGCCAAACAAGCACTAATACTTCTACATATATAAGTGACTTGTTGATTAAACCATCGAATTGAAGATTTGATTGGAAAATCGGTAAACTTGTGACCTTGATCAAGTTAAAGTTCTAATAATATTGTATTGACTAACAAGTTGGGCTATAGTTAGAAGACACAACTTAAAGGTCGACCCAATCTAAGATTCATGTTGCAAATCGGTTGCATGGACACGAGCTAACCCAATTTTTTAAAAAAAAATCCAAAATAATATTGTTTTTTTTTTTAATCTATTTTTTTACCGACTTAATTCAAACTAGACCCTAATCAATGAATCATTAAATTAACCCATCAAATTAAGTCCAAATAGGTCTGGTCATATATCTATGTATAAAGTTGTACTAATCAATTGGCCTGTGCTACATCACATTTCAGAGAAAAAAAGATTAAGAAAAAAAATGGTCTAGGTATTGGAATTAGGTCTCATAAAAGAGAAATTAATTTTGACAATGAATTTAACGATATTTTTATCTAGTATTAAAATTAAAAAAAAAACATTTGATTTACTTAGGCTGACCTGCGAAACTTGCAAGGATAATCTAGAAAAAAATTAAAAATTTCAATCTCAAATTAACTTAATGTTGAAAGACTAAATTGGTAAGAAAACAACAATGTTTAATTTTTTTTGAAAAAAAATGAATTTGAATTAATAAATCAAACTCGTGACAAAGTTGTGCACAACATTGAATTCAATAAAAAAATTTGTCTCATAGATTATTTTTTATTTAATATTATGACAATTAAACACATGATAATTTTTTGTATGTGTTTTTTTAAAAGGAAAAAAAAACCATGGTAGGTGTGTGAGGTTGGAATAGCAAAACTAGATTATTGATAACAAATTGTATTACATTCTTTTAGGTTTGAATTAAATAAAAAAATAGATCATTAATAATAAATGGCGAAAAATGTTTTTTTCAAAAAAATAAGGGATAGAAAAAGAATTAAATAAAAAATTAAACAATAGCTTGGATATTGCGAATTAACTCCTTAAGCCTACAATTTGGCTCATGAACTCAAATAAGTTCAATGATTTTTTTAAATAATTTTTTAACTCAAATATAAAAAAATAAATTAAGAAAAATGAAAGCCCAGAAGTGTGGGCCCGATGGACTAACTTACCTGGGCTTTAAAAGAAAAATAAGTAAGGCTCTTGGGCCTTCTAGTCCAATCTATGTGCCTAAGTTTTTTTTTTTTTTCTTAAATGTTCTAACTTTTTTTTTTTTAAAAAAAGATAGTAGACAGTGCGCCATCATCTTTCTATATATTTGAGCTATTAGACTCGTTGAAAAAACAAGGCCTTAAGTTTTTTTCGTTAAAAAAACCCCTTTCAACTTATTTTTAACCCAAAACACCTTAATAAATCTATCAATAACCTTAAAAGAAAAAACCAAAATCAACCCAAACTTAAAAATATTCTTGTGGTCAAATTAGCCTCTTAAGGAAAGAAGAAGGAAAAAACACCTGGGTGAAACTACCATTATAAAATGAAACTCATTAACACTAATATCAACTATTTTTATGTTTAGAATCATTGCTAATGTTGGCTTTCTCTTTTTGTGCTAGGATCGACGAGCCTCTTTTTTCTCTAAAAAAAAGATTGAAAAAAAAATTGGTACTAAAATTGATTTTTTAACAAATAAAATGATTAGTTTGCTAATAACTAAGAATAATAAGGGACCAAAAGGAACTTTTCAAATTAAATTCGAAGTCACCACTTGTGGCATCTGTCATTTTCATTTTAATCTTGTATCTTTTAATTCAATTATTTCTTAAAAAGAAATATAAGTAAATTGGTGTTAATTTGGATTTAAATGATTGAATTGTGAAAAAAAAAGTTTAAAGATCAAATTAAAAACTAAAAATTAAAATTTTTAAAAAGATTGACCATTACATTCTGTAGTGATGGTGATTTGTGATGGAGTGTATAGTACAAATGCTATAATAAATTCAACTTAGAAGTTAGTTTTTTTACTATATGACTCGTCATCCGCAACGAGTTAGACATTTTTATTTTCTATAAAAATAATTATATATATAGGTTTTTTTAACTTATTTTTGTAGTTTAAAAAATTTAAGTTCAAATAAAAAAATTTATACATACATGCAATCAAATAAACCGAGAACTACGCGTGTGAATAAATAAATTAAAATTCATTAAGGATACCTAAAAATAAAACTTGAAAAATTGAGATACATGTATAAATCAAGTTATTTAATATCGAAAGACGGAACATTTATTCAGCTGTGTTTGCTAAATTTGTTTATTAATATAATTTTTTTATTCAAGCAAATAATAATAAAAATAAAGATACAAATTAAATTAATTAAATAAAGTAAAAAGGAGAAAAAAAATCATGCAAGGTTGCACATATTAGAATTATTATTTGAAAATATTTTTAAAAAATAAAGTTCATCCACACAAAAAATTAAAAAAATTATAAATAAATCATAAAACTCTTTAAATTTAAATGCCAATCAAAAAAATAATCGTCATTTTAAAGAGATTTTCTAAACAAAATAAAAGAGCGAAGGAGAATTAAGCTAAATATAAATTAAAAAAAAAAGAAGAAAACCATAAAAAAATATTAATTCAAAAAAGAATTAGAAAAGAATTTATAAAAAAACAAGAAGTAAAAGTCAGATGTTGTTGGGCTTTGCTAACCCGTTTGACCCTTTTTTTAGAGCTTGCGTGACAGGGTTTTTATTTTTTTGTTTGCAACGAGGGTGGGTAACATGTCAATCGACCATAATGTTTTTGAAAAAAAATTAGATTATGCCTTGTCGAGGTAGATGATATGTCGTCTAATTTGTCTAGATTCTAGTGACTATAGTGGTAAAAAAAAATTAAGGCTTAGGTTTTTTTTGTAAAAAAACTTATTTTTCAATTTATTTTAACCCAAAACACCTTGAGAACTATGATAAACCTATCTATACCCTAAAAAACCCAAAAAACCATCCTAAAAATTGAAATTAACTTGAAACCAAAAAATAACTTGAGTTTAAATTTGTTTTTTCATGAACCTTAAAGGTAAAAAACAGCTAATATAAATTTTTCTCATCAAATAAAATCATTTGACACATACATCATCTATTTTGGTGGTTTAAATCGGTGTTAATAATATATTTTTCTTTTTACCATCAAAATCTAATGACTTCTCTCTTTTTTCTCTTAACCAAGACTAAAATTAACAAAAATAATTTTTTATACATGAATTGAATTTAAAAAATATTGAGATACTAAAATTGAGGTTGTAAAATAATTTATATATATATATATTAATATTTATGGTTTTTAATTTAAATATTGTAGATTTAGTTATTGCTATTACATCGTGAAATAAATCATACTTTATATAATTTTTTTATTATTCCATTAAATTATCTACAAATCTATTACATACAAAATTCATCTGATAAAAACTACAGTTTTTATAATTTTTTGAGTGTACAGTAAAATTAGGTAAAATATTATCAGGAATAAAATTGAGATTATAGTATGAATAAATTTAATTTACCTTAAACTAATTTTTTTAAAAAATAAAAATTATTATTTACATTCACATGAACAGTGCTAGTGAAATCAATTAACTACATTGATTTTTTTTAAAAACTATTAACTAGTTTTTTTTTAAAAAAATACTATTTAAGTGAAGAATGCAACTGAGAAGGGATGATGCACTGCTCACTGAACAATGCAGCATAGTGCAGCTGCAAGAAGTAGGTATAACCTGCTTTCATTTTCCATACATTTCAAATGTATAATTTGATAGGATTCATGAATAGTAACTTATATTCTTTTTGTTATCAAACATTGTTGTATCTGCATTTTAAGTAATACACAGATACAACTACGTAGATAAACACTCTTAAGTATGTGTTTGAAAATATGGTTGTGGTTACTTTTCAAAGTACTTTTCACACGGAAAAGTATGTCAATAATATTTTTTATTTTTTAAAAATTATTTTTAAAATTAACACATCAAAATAATTTAAAAACATCTAAAATATATTAATCAAAACAAAAAAAAATAATTTTTTTTAAAAACTCTTTTAAAAAACACAATCAAACACCCCTCAAGAGGTGAAAGGATAGCAGCATCCTTTTTTATAGTGAAAAAATAGATAAAACAAAAAAAAAATTAATTTTATAGTGAAAAAATGGACGACTTTTAGTTTTATACTTTAAAAAAAAAATAAAAAATTGGTACTAGTAATTATTTTTATGCCTTCCTGGCGGAATCAGCACCCCAAACAAACGGAGACACAGCTTTGCCCACTCCTCTTTCTTCCCCATCTCCCATAAGCCACTGTCCGCTCTTCCCATTTCTTGCCAAAATCCAAAATAAAGGAAGAAGTAGAGAGATGCAATCGGTGGTCTGGAACCCAACTCACTGTAGTGCCCAACAAACCCTAGACACCCCCTGCAGCTCTCCTCTTCTTCATCATAAGGTCTCCTTCTCTCTCCCTGTCTCCCTTTTCTTCTTCTTTTTTCCTGGAATTATTAATCAGTTCTTATTATGAAGTTGAATATTTGAATCCCGTATGCTTTCACAGAGTTGTAAAGGCTTTTTTGGTTCCCATGTGAGGAGCGCCAATCAGCTGCGGCAAGGCAGCCCTTGCCATTCCTTACAGGCTCGACTGCCTTCTTTCACACAGAGGAGGCTAGGTTCGTTTTTTCTCTTTTCATTTCTTTCTTATAATTCAGGATACTGATTCAATTAACTCATCATACCCATATCTCTTCTTTTAATTTGGAATAATGGGTTTATTTTATTTTATTTTATTGAGTAATGTTGCTGAATAGGCATTTTTTGGTATTGTATAGTTGTAAAGGCTGTTGCTACTCCAGATTCGGCGGTAGAATTGCCGTTAACCGTGGATAATGTTGAGAGTGTATTGGATGAGGTTAGGCCCTATCTGATTTCAGATGGTGGTAATGTGGCATTGCATGAGATTGATGGGAATGTTGTACGGTTAAAACTACAAGGAGCATGCAGTTCTTGTTCTGCTTCTGTTATGACAATGAAGATGGGTATTGAGCGTCGTTTAATGGAAAAGATTCCTGAGATAGTTGCAGTAGAAGCTATATCGGATGAAGAAACCGGACTTGAGCTGAAGGAAGAAAATATAGAGAAGGTAATCAAATTGGAGCCTTTATTTTTAGTGCTATTATATGTTGTGGAATTGAACAGTTATTGAATGGTGAATGACCTCGGGTGAATATCCACATTGTAATGGTTGAATGAAAAAAATTAAAAATCGAAGATGCTAAGTTGCAGGGTGCAAATTGAAAAAGAAAATAACAGAGTGTAGGTTTCCACTCGATTCACTAAAAGCGTAAATCATCTCTGTGGTTCTCTACTTGTTTATGGAATTCTGGAATATTTTCCTACATTTACAACTTAATCTTTACCGGCATGGATTTGCATCAACTATTATTTTAGCTCTTGGTATGTAATTTTGGTCTAGGGTGCTGTGTTTGTTTAAGATACATCTTAAAGTTGTCTAAACTAGGATGCACTTTGAGAGTCCCTTCTGCCATATTCCACCAACTGCATCTACTGGCTAAGCAGTTTCAACCCCCTACTGTTTTTTCCCCTCTCTTGGAGAAACTTAAATTGCAGGTGGTTACTGCACAGTACCATTATGGAATTTTGAGCAAGGTTAAATCTTTGAAATCATTGAATGCATGGTTAATGGTCCTCTACTTGCTCAATCATGCCTAATACCAAGGCTTCCCTCCCTTCTAAGAGAATTTTACCTTTGCATGAAAATGGAATTGGAATTATGGGCTAGGTTCATTCCTGCATGGCCTATTATCAAATGGTTAGCTTATGTTGTCCGAAAACTATCATCAAGGCAACCGACAAATAGTTGCCTAAATTGTTTATAAGATTCTACTTGACTCCTTTGTATCCCAATAGGGTGCTGCAGTTTTTGTGATGTGCTCATAACATATGATAGGTAGCCATTAGGTAACGTCTTTGACTGGGATGTCTATCAATAATAGCCTTAATTGTAAACAGCTTTCACCCTTTCGAATAGGGTTTTCAAAATCTCTGGGTAGTCTTCAGTGTTCTATACCTTATAAGAGCTGCTTTTAACAAAGGTTTGAGGGTGTTGGGATTTCAAAAGGAGTAAGTGTAGTGAAACTGGGCTTTGTCATGGATTTGAAACCTTTGGTTGGAGGGCAGCTTTAGAATCTTTTAAACTATGTTTGGTGTGCGTGAGGGAAGGGCAAGGGGGGTGTAAATAAAGGTAAGGTATGGAAGGGGAAGGGAAAGCAAAGGTGGGATATGAATTATTTCCTTGTTTGGATCAAATGAGGGAAAAGGAAGGTTATGAACCCACCTTTGTTTTGTTAGAGGAAGGAAGGTAAGGTTTAATTTTGTAATTACTAAAATGTATTTAATTATAATTTTTAATTCTTGTGTTCATGTACAGGGTGTTAAATTGAAACAAACTTGATGCATCCAATAATCAACATAAGCCAACATTATTGAAAATTAAGTGATCAAAGCTAGCTTCAAAAAATACATAACAATTGACATTAAAAATTCAAAGAACCAAACACTATAATTATATCAATTACCTTTTTGCAGATCTTGAAATGAGCTATTGTAGGAGAGCACAAAAGCTAGAGAGAAGGAATAATAAATTGGCAGATTATAAAGGAAAAACTCAATCAAACTTTTGAAATAGGAGATTTGGTGTTTGTTAACTGAAGATTTATTGTATTGTTGTAAAGATACGGGTTTAGAAAGAAGATAGGCCATGTACGTTTTGATTTATCCTTCTAATAGAAAGGATAGATCTGGAATTAGACTAAAAAAAAAGGTTAACAAAGGAAAAAAGAGGCCAAAAATTATATAACTTGTACCATTCACTCGTTTGGAGTGTTAAGGATTTTAGCAGTTACTGGATTTTGGAGGCTTATAGAAAACCGTCCCATTCCCTTGCAAACCTCCCATTCCCCACCCTTCCTCTTAAAAAAAATTTGCAAAACAAAGTCTGGGAGTTCCAAGCCCACCCCACCCCACCACTTGCCATTAAACCCCCAAAACAAACAGTGCTAGGGTTAGAAGCATTTTTTGGTCCTGCTTTAGGATTTAGTCATAGTTCTACTAGCTTCAAATCAGTGCCGTCACATTAATATGTAGTGTTCATCAGCAGGTTTGCAGTGAAATTGGAGAGTTTGATGTCATACCATTGTTGTTTTTGGATGGTTCTTCACAGCTTTTTTTTCCAAGGGTGAAGTCTCTTTCTCCTGCATCAAACATCCTTCCCCTGTTCTCTGATACTAAAGTTTATTTTTCTATCGAAATATATGTTTGCTTCTGTCAAGTCTAAGATGGTCAGAAGTGCAACAGGATTTTTTTGGTATTGTAGTTCATTTTATAGAGGCCCCTGAAGTTGCAGCCTTCAAGATACAATATCTGATAAGAGCTGTTTCTGACTGGCAATGTTCTGCTTTTCATTAGTGCCCAAAGCCTCGATATGGGCTGATGGCTGGGTTGATGGCTGGGTTGATGGCTGGGTTGATATGTATATACATGTATCTTCCTCTTTTTTCCTATGTCAACACCCTTATTTGCCGCTCCCAGAAGAAGCCTATAATACCTGCATGTATATGTAGATGCAAGTTATAAAGCATGTGATGGCTGTTTTCTTCTCGAACTTCAATGTTTTTAACTGATAACTTACTTGTTAATTGTGCCAGGTGCTGGAAGAAATAAGGCCATACCTTGTTGGGGCAGCTGGAGGATCTCTTGAACTAGTGGCAATTGAGGAGCCAGTAGTTAAAATCCGAATAACAGGACCAGCAGCTGGGGTCATGACCGTACGAGTGGCTGTTACCCAGAAATTACGAGAGAAAATTCCAGCCATTGCTGCAGTTCAACTCCTATGATATTCTTGCATATTTCTAGGTCGGGACATGAGTTTATCAAATAGACAGTTGTTAAACTCCCAATACCTGTATTCTGAAAATCCAGCACTTTAGCTTGTGTACAGTTTAGATGGGTGCAATTGCTTGAGTATTGACATTCTGAAAATCCAATTAAAGGAAATTGAAACTGCTAGTCATTTTGTATTCACACATCTATCTTCACCATGTTCTGTGAAATATAGCTGTAGATATTAGATGATTTAGACTATGTTTTTGTAATGTGTTTAAATGTGTTTGGCTTGAAAAAATATATTTATGTTTTTTCAGGCATAAATATGTAGATAATCCGGCACTTAATGAGATAAGTTGGGGAAAAGGTGTCCTGTAAAACTCTGGTTATTGGTGCTAGGTTAAAAACTGGAGGTGGATAATTGCAAGCTTGAATGAAATGTAAAATTGTTTTCAAACATAACAATTCTTAGCCTAATTTTTTTTTTTAATTTTTAGTTTTTATTACTTGTATTTAGTAATATATAAAATTGAAAACTCTTGAAAAAAATGTCCAAAGAAATATATTTTTATATTATAAAATTAAAATTTCTACCGTTACTAAAATTACTTTTTATATTACTCCTACAATTTTTGTGAATTACTTTACTTTTGTCTAATTTTTATTGTTTTTCGAATAAAGCATATTTGATAGTTGCATAAAGCATGAGACCTGATGAGTTCATACGGCACCAGACATATATCTACTAAGAAGAAGAAATCCCTGTCATACCAAAATTGAGGATTCACCTAAGTTTGCTTCCAATTCCCAGAAGTATATCTGCAAATCTTCATCAAGTAGTTCTTCTTGCTTCTCTTTGGTTGCGCCACATGAGTCTTTGGGGTAGCGATTAGTTAGTGTAAGAGACAAAATCATGATTAGTTGAAACTAAAACATAAAATAAATATGATTTTGTAATAGTTTTGGAGTGAATTTTTATATTTTTAAAATATAAAGTATATAGATATATGTTTACTTTATCTTTATTATTTTTATCTTTTCTATTTTGAAACAATAATTAAACATTATCTAATAGTATTTTTCAAAAAAAAATATTCAGTCAAGAGAGTTTTTATACCTTCAAGATGTTTGGGAATATAATGGCAGTTGTTTAAAAATATTTTTCATATCATTATATCAAAATCATTTAAAATATAAAAAATAATTTGAAACCATGAAAAAATAAAATAAAATATAATTAAAAAAACATTTTTAAAACACACCATCGTTTTTGTCGGTTCTGTTCAGCTTTTGTTTCCAAGGATTAAGCCACTTCCTCCTGCATTACACTTCCTTCCCCTTTTCTCTCTTACCAAATTCTTGTTTTCTATCAAAATACATGTTTGCTTTCGTCAAGTCTAACATGTCCAGAAGCACTACAGCAATTCTGTGGCAGTGTAGTTCATTTCAACAGGCTCCTGAAGCGACTCCCTTTGAGATACAATATCAGATGTAAGCTGTTGAGCTGTTTTGGACTGGCAATGTTCTCCTCATCGCTAGGGCTAATAGCCTCACAGGCTTATGGTTGAAGTGACACACACACACATATTTCCTTCCTTCTGCGTGTAAACAAACACCCTGCTCTCCAATCCCAGAAGAAGCCCAAGTTGTGAAGAATATGATGGTTGTTTCTTCTCAAACTCCATCGCTGTTAGCTTACAATATGCTTGATAACTGTGCCAGGTACTCGACGAAACAAGGCCATACCTTGCTGGGGCTGCTGGAGGATCTCTTGAGCTAGTGGCAATCGAGGAGCATATAGTTAAAATCCGAATAACAGGGCCAGCAGCTGGATTCATGCCTTTACGAGTGCCTGTAACTCATAAACTACGAAAGAAAATCCAGCCATTGCTGCAGTTCAGCTCCTCTAGTTTTGCTGCAGATTTCTAGCCCGGGGCATGAAGATGATGAAGATAATAGATTCATTATCTTTACGTGTTAGATGTATCCTCTTCTGTGTCTTTTTAAGAGTTCTTTTTTATATAAGTGTATTCATATTTTCTCTATATGCTCTTTCATTACTTTTTAAGCAAAATTTCGCCAAAGCTACGGATGATAAAATCAATTTTGAAAGAAAAAAATAATAAAATTAATTTGATAAAAAATTTTAAAAAATTAAGAAATTAGAAACATTTTAAAAATTATAACAAATTAAAAATCTAGACAAAAACTTGGAGAATCCCAAAAAACTGAAATAACTCATAAAATATTAAAAAGAAAAAAATATAGGAAGCCAATGAAAAATTAAAAAACTCATGCTGCAATGACATATTTCTATTACAAGGTTTTATGGACATCATTTATTTTAATTTTTAGATTTTATCTGTTAGTTTCATTTTTTTTCTTTTTAGGTGTTTCTATATTTTATTTGTTATAGGGTTTCAAGATTCTTTTAAGTTTTTTTAAAAATTACAACTTTTATTTTTTATATTTTCAAAAACAAAATTTATATTCAAAAATAATTATAGAAAAATCTAAAATACTAGAGTTTTTACTATAGCAATCCATGGTGAAAACTCTCTATGCCTTTATTTACACAACGCAATAGGCAAAGGATAGGGGTATCATGGTCTTTTCCATAATCACGGGGCACAAAGATCATTTTGTCTTCTCTTAGAATAGGCAAAAGGAAAAAAAAACTTCATAAAGAGAAATTGTCGTATAAGGGCATTTTAGTCTTTCAATCAAGGTAAAGGAAATGAAAAACATAAATAGAAGGTTAATATAACATAAAAAAAAAACTTGAACATTATAAAATACAAAAATAGAGAAAATGATCTTTATATGAATACCAAGATATCTAAATGTATGGTGAATATCTCATTTTATAGACTAAAATTCAGAACTATTAATTTGATAACTAATTATTAAGTGGATGACCAACTCTTGACTTGGTGACAACCATTATTTTCTTGTCTGAATAAAATATCATTGCTAATGTCAAAATTTGAACATATAGTCTACATGAAAGTTCTGGACATTTGTCTCAGCTTTCCAACAAAACAAAAATGTGATCATTTGAACTTCTAGAACTTGATATATGGATTGAATACAGAACAATGTTTGAGCTGCATTACAGATTCCGAATTTTCTTTTATTGCTACAATTTGAATTTGAATATAGCCGTTTTGAATCTTGAATTCTCATGAAAATTTTAGGTCTTTGTCTTAGCTTTCCACTCATATAAATCAGACCTAAATCCATGCTCTATTGCTCCAGTTATGATCCAATAATCAAATAATATTTCAATTTGAATTGAGCCAACATCTCTTCTTTAAGCTTAGCCCTCTCTGTCTTTTCATTTTCAATAGTTAAATACATCAATTAATCGTTTAAATTATAAGATATGTCTATATTCAAAATGACATTTACTATAAATAAAAAATATCTTATATTATTAAACTTATTATTATAAAACATGCTTAAGTTAGAAAATATAATGACACTTTAAGTGTAATAAGATAATATAAAACCTTAATGAAAATGCACTTTTAAGTACTAATTAGGTTTTCACTATAGCAATCTAGAGTGAAAACCCTATTTTTGCATGAGCTTTTTGATTTAAAATTGTAATTTTTGCCAAAAAAACATGTTGGTAAAACTTGTATATCTAATTTTTTTTTATTGAAAATAAAATACAACTTGCAGCATAACGTAGGTTAGGTAACTATTATTTTTCCAAAATTAGTACAAATATATAAAAGAAATTGTAAGATTGTTTAGAGTAAACTAGATTATTGACCTGTGATATACTGTAGGTTACATAAAAAAAAACTTTGAACATCTAAATAAAATATTCGGGCGTTACTAATATGTTTTATAGTGTAAAAAAAGTAAAACCGTAAGGTGGTTGATTTGATATAACCAGGTTGATTTTGCAAATAAAACAACAACATGAATAATTGATAAAAACATATTTTGAATAAAAAAATTCAAAACAATATCTTTTTTAAAAAATATTGAGACAATAATATGTTGTATTGATTTAGGTCAACCTGAGATAACCTTTCAATTTTGTAACTTAAATCATGAGACTATAATAGTCATGTAGAAAGTAAATTGAACAAAATTATGAACCCACATTCTCAATTAACCAAACATTAAATGATTATATTTTAAAAAATTCAATTAAAAAAGACCAAAAAAATATCTTAAATCAACTCGGGTTAATTGGCTAAACCAATGATCCAGGTCATTAAATTATGATAACCTTAGAGAAAGTAAACTAAAATAAATTATGAATCATAATTCATAACAACTCAATATTGAACAATGAAATAAAAAAATGACTTGATTTAACTAGATTAATCCACTAAGTTTGTTATTAGGGTTATGAGACCGAAATAACCTTATATAAAACAAACCAAAATAAATTATAAGGCTCAATTTTTAATCAAATATTGAATGATAAAATAAAAAAATTTAATTAAAAAAACAAAAAAAAACTCAAGTTAGTCAGGTTAATCTATCAAACTCATAACTAGAGTAATGATATTATGATAACCTAATAGAAAAAAATCAAAAAAAATTATAATATTAAATGTTGAGAGAATAAAATTAAATATTAAAATAAAAAACTAAATCACTATTCCAGTTCTGAGTGATATGTGAGTAAGGGAATAATGATTTCCCCTCCTCAGTTAGTTCTAGCTAATATTTTTAAGAATAAAAGAGAAAATACCAAGCACTTGGGATATGTTTCATGTAAAATAAACAGTTTTTTTTATTAGGAAGCATTTAATTATTGTTTTAGAATAAAAAAATAATAAAAACAAAAGGAATATATTTTTTGTATTTTTTTAGCTTTGAGAGCATAAAAATTGATTTCAAATCTATATTAAAAAGAAATTTATTTTATACTAAATATCTTGTAGTCTTTCTATCATGGTTTTCTAATTATATTTAGGAACAATAAGGGATATTTTTGTATTTTAATAATATAAAAAAGTTGTTAGGCATAAATCTCGTATGCCCTAATGAGAGGACACCATTTATGCCCTTTGAGTGACATGTGTGGCGGCGTTCATTGTTGGAATACTTTCTTCAACGATAATATTAAAAGAGTCATTGTATCATTTTTTAGTGTGTACGGTGCATGTAGATAGTATATGATATGTTAAACATCGGTGATTGTTTTTCTTTTTTCTCTCATCCTAAAA